TGTATAAATTTTTGAACAGGAGACTAACTTGAAATGTAAACTTCATCTAAACTACAAAAATAAAAAATAAAAATAAAAAAAATGGCAAAATGTGTAGAGTCTAGGTGGTGGGCATATGGGTGTTCACTGTACAACTCTTATGGATGTTTAATTTTTTTAATAATAAAATATTGGGAAAAAAATAAATCACACAGGTGGCCCACACCAACCTTTCGTCTCATGTCACCATGGCTGAAAGAACTTAGTCCTTAGTCACAGGGCTCTGAGTATTCTGCAGGAAGAGTCTGGACAAGAGGACACATGATAATGAATAAAATAAATGAATAAATAGTAGTCATTCTTGCTATAAAACACTTCAAAATTTCTTCTCTTTGGGCAACCCTACCAAATTACAATCATATTATTTATCACATTACTATTATGTCCTAGACATTTCTCAAGTGTTGTTTCATTTACTCCTCAAATAATCTTACTAAACCAATACTATTATGCCCATTTTTCAGAGAAAGATATTGAAGTACAGTGGGGTAAAGTATTCTGCAAAATGCCACTCAGCTAGCACAGTAGAGCAGGTGTTCAAAACAAGCCTGTATGATTCTACAACTTATGCCTTAACAGCATTTTACTTTACAGAATTTTGCACCAATGGAATATAACAAGTGACTTTTAAAAGATAACTGTGGAAAGGACAAATATTGTAGGAGACCACTATTATAAGAACACAAGAAAACTTTAAACACAGAAGAAAACATTCTTTGATGGTTACAAGGGTGGGGAGGGAGGGAGAGTGTTATTTACTAACTAAATAGTAGACAAGAATTATCTTAGGTGAAGGGAAGGACAACACACAATACAGAGGAAGTCAGCACACCTGGACTAATCCAAAAGCTAAGAAGCTTCCTGAATACAACCAAAAACTTTGAGGGACAGAGTAGCAGGGGCAGGGGTCTGAGGACCACAGTTTCAGGGGACATCTAGGTCAATTGGCATAACAAAGTTTATTAAGAAAATGTTCTGCATCCTACTTCAGTGAGTGGCGTCTGGGGTCTTAAAAGCTAGTGAGTGGCCATCTAAGATACATCAATCAGTTCCAACCCACCTGGAGCAAAGGAGAATGAAGAACAACAAAGACACAAGGAAAATATTAGCCCAAGAGACAGAAAGGGCCATATAAACCACAGACTCCATCAGCCTGAGACCAGAACTAGATGGTGCCCGGCTACCACCAATGACCACCCTGACAGGGAATACAACCAAGAGTCCCTGATGGAGCAGGAGAAAAGTAGGGTGCAGAACTCAAATTTTAGTAAAAAGACCAGACTTCATTGTCTAACTGAGACTGGAGGGAACCTAGAAGACATGGCCCCTGGACTCTCTGTTAGCCCAAAACTAAAACCATTCCCAAAGCCAACACTTGGGACAAAGATTAGACTGGACTATAAGACATAAAATGATCCTCGTGAGGAGTGTGCTTCTTAGCTCAAGTAGATACATGAAACTAAACAGGCAGCTCCTGTCCAGAGGCGAGATGAGAAGGCAGACAGGGTCTGGAGCTGGTTGAATGGACATAGGAAATCCAGGGTGGAAAGGAGTGTGCTGTCACACTGTAGGGAGAGCAACTAGGGTCACAGAACAATGTGTGTACAAATTTTTGTATGAGAAACTGACTTGAACTGTAAACTTTCACTTAAAGCACAGTAAAAAAAATAAATAAAATAATTCAAAAAAAAAAAAAAGGTAACCATGGCAGAAAGTTTCAAATCTAAGACTCAGCCAGTGACTCTGAAGCCCAATAACTGCCTAAGGATAGAGGTGACTTAGAGCAAAAGCCCAAGTAAGTGGTACGTGTTGTTGTTGTATGCTGTGAAGTCTATTCCAACTGATAGCAAGCCCATGTGACAGAGTAAAAGTGCCCCTTATAGGGTTTCCTAGGTTGTAATCTTTACGGGAGCAGATCACCCAGTCTTTTCTCCCACGGAGCTGCTGGTAAGTTCAAACCACTTACCTTTCAGTTAGCAGCCAAGTGCTTAACCATTGCGCCATCACGGCTCCCTAAGTTGTATAGAATGGGCCATATTTGCAATGTCTAAGAGCTGCAAGAGAAACAGAGCTGTTCAGTGGCCTGCATTGCTAGAGACCTGTTATGGAATGAATTGGGTCCCCTCAAAATATGTGTTGTAAATCGTAGCCTCTATGTCTGTGGTATAATCCCATTTGGGAATTGGTTGTCTTTATAATACAAATGAGGCAGGATTGGGGCACATCTGGAGTCAATCTCTTTTGACATATAAAAGAGATTAAACAATCAAGCAAAAGAGGCAGAGATAGAGGAAAAGAGATGCCAAGCGACATAAAGATCACCCAGGAACAGAAGCTCAGAAGAGACAAGGATCTTCCTCCAGAGCTGACAGAGAGAGAAAGCCTTACTCTAGAGACGGCGTCCTGAATTCGGACTTTAGCCTCCTGAAGTGTGAGAAAATAAATTTTTGTTTTTTATAGTCACTGATTTGTGGTATTTCTTTTATAGCAGCACTAGATAACTAAATCAAGCCCTTTCTTTGAGCTCTGACAATTCAGCCCAGGATTAGCTGACACCCACAGAATGGCAGAGCCCATAAAAACCTTCCAGGAGATGTGGCATATCCTACTTCCTAGTCAATGTCAAATCTCAAGACAAGTTGAAAGACATGTATAAATTACAGAAATAGTTAAAATGACTTTAACTCAGAGGCTCTCATATTTTATGAAAAATCATTAAACAAAAAAGATAGTAATATATGTACATGTATATGTGTATATATATATTTATACATAAATATATACTTGCATGTATAATATTATAAATATCTACATTTGAGGAGTGGGACAATGTGTGTGTGTGTGTGTGTATTTATATCTTCCCATTGTTAAAAATCACCTGCAACGATCAGAGACTCGATCTCTGATAGCTTTGAAATGGCATATGATTTACCAGTTACAGCATTGGAAGCACTTGAACTCTGTACAGCTGATCTGGACAATTAGGGCAGAAACCCTGTGACCTCAGTAGGCTATAGTTCTTGGGAGGCTTCCTAGAAGTCGGGAGAATTTCTTATCCAAGGCTACAAATACTGGAACAGAGGTGATGTCTTAAAGAGGATGCTAGTGGGATGTGTGAGTAAAGAATTTAACTTGACCCAAGGGATATGGTCTTTGTTCTTGGTTCCTGAGAGATAATCTCTAAAACCTTGGAATTTCTCCAATGATTGAAGTGTCTTGATGAAGCCTCCAGACCCCACTTGAGGGTTTATGCTAATCAGGTATCTCTTGGTGGGGGCTGACCAGGCCAGAAGGATCCACCACCTGGTATCAGCCCAATCTCGGGGGAAGGGGCTGATTAATCAACCATGCCTACATAATGAGGCCCCAGTAAAGGCTGTGGACCAGGAAGCTCCATGGGCTTCCTGGTTGGTGACAGACATCCATGCACGGGGGACGGTAGGGCATCCCCTTTGGGGACACGGAAGCTCCATGTCCCTCCCAGACCTGGCTCTAAATGTCTCTTCATTTGTATAATAAAACTATAATCGTAAGTATAGTGCTTTCATGAGTTCTGTGAATCTTTCTAATGAATTATCAAACCTGAGGGAGTAGGAGGAGATGGCAAGTTACAAGTGAGGGGTCCTTGGAGACACTCAAGCTCACAGTTGATATCTTGAGGGGTTAGTGGGAAAGCCCAGAATTTGTAGCCAGCAGCTGAGAAATGAGGGTATCATGGGGACCCCAAGCTTGCAGTTGGCATCTGAAGTATTGGGCAGACTTGGCAGTCTGGAGGACTACCCTCTTTAACTTGAGAACTTACCTAGCTCCAGTGGTTAGAGTCAGAGGAAGAAGTACCGCATGTGCAGTTGAATTGGAATTTAATTCCTTCAATTTAGTTGGTGTTAGAAAAGTGGAATAAATGGATTGTACTGATTTGGTTGACACCTTACAGGATGGCTTCTCCAGGAACCTATCTGTCATTTGGTCAGAAGCTATTGAGTTCCTTCAGGTGCTCAGGGTACTGGACCCTCTGCACCTGGAGAGAGTAATAACAGGCAGCTGGAGATGAAAACAGTATCCTCCAGAATTCCACCTGGGCACTGCCCTTCCCTTGCTCTTTATGACCCCAGACTCACTCTGGGCTTCAGCCCAGCCTCATTCCCCAGATCCTGCTTCTTGCCTTTGCTTTCTTTGGTGAGGCTAAGGGCTCAGATCTGTGTCCACTCTTAGCTCCCATGCACACCCACTCTTGTTTTGAGGTAGCTCTGTCACTAGATCTTGGCTCTGCTCCACTTTGCCTTTATTCCCAGCTCTATCCTGTTCCATTCTTCCCAACCTGCCCACCTCCCACTAACCCCACTTCCTACTTACTCCTTCCCTAAGCCTTGCATTTATGGCTGCCTACATCTGACCTGAGCTCCTCACTCCTGTCCACCATCTATGCTGGTTCAGTTCCTCACTTTGCTTTGTGACAGTGAGAGGGCTACCAAGTCTCAAGCTGAGACCCAAGCAGTGTGGAGGAACCATTCTCATGGTTCTTTCAAAAATACTGTGGGAAGTCCCAACAGCCTTCTCCAGAGCCAAAGAGAACTCACATCTCAATAGCAACCTCTCTAAATCCCTGCTCTCCACTGCACAGTGTAGACACTTCCAGGGCCCAATGAAAGGAAATTTTTTTTTCTTTTAGTCTGACAACAATTATATAAGACATTCAACATTAAACTGTGTAGTATAAATTATAAGTGCTGAAGGAGAGGAATATGAATAAGTCTGTTGAGGAGGAAAGATTTAAGCAAAAGCTTGAAGGGAAAATGTTGTTGTTGTTGTCAGGTGTTGTCAACTCAATTTCCAACTCATAGCAACCCCATGTGATAGAGCAGAACTGCCCCACAGGTTTCCAAGGCTGTAATTTCTAAGAGAAAAGGAGCCCTGGTGGTGCAGTGGGTAAGCGCTGGGCTGCTATCTGAAATGTTAGTGGTTCGAACTCACCAGCTGCTCCAAGGGAGAAAAGACCTGGCAATCTGCTTCTATAAATATCACAGCTATGGAAACTCTATAGGGAAGTCCTACTCTGTCCTATAAGGTCACTAAGAGTCAGAATCAACTTGATGGCAATGGGAATCTTTATGGCAGCAGATCTTTATGGGAACAGATCACCAGGTCTTTCTCCTGTGGAGTGGCTGGGTAGGTTTGAAATGCCAACCTTTCAGTTAGCAGCCCAACACTTAACCACTGCATCACCAGGACTCCTTGAAGGGAAAATAGAACAGGATAAGTGAAAAGGAGCAATAAGAATGTTCTAAGCAAGAACATCTTGATCAAATGAAAAGGAGGTGAAGTTAATATATATCCACTCCTCACTTAACGACATGGTTAGGTTCCAAAGATCAGGTCATTATGTGAAAATCGGCATTATGCAAAAATGGAGATGACCATATCAAATCACAAAATGGAAGATGACTACATCATTATATAACTGCCAAATTACATAATTACATAACTGCCAAATTACATCACTATATAACTGCCAAACCACTGAGAATCATGGCCCAGCCAAGTTGACACATAACCTTACCCATCACAGCCAGCATTACTCTTGCCTGACACCTCAGCATTCATTACTGCGAGACATACATTGCTAATGCACAAAATAGTCAGATTTTTTACTATTGTCATAAATGTGAAATGTCAGGTAATGAAATAATAAGTGAGGAGTAAATGTAATGTGATAAAGACAAAAGATTAGATAGGAAAATAGCAGGGGGCAGTGAGTTTATGTTAATGGAGGAAGAACAACTCAGAAAAGGAGTGTGAAAATTGTTGCACAACTTAAAGAATGAAATCAATGTCACTAAATAGTACATGTAGAAATTGTTGAGTTGGTTTATGTTTTGCTGTGTATATTCTCGACAACAGCAACAAAATAAAATTATATGTTAAAAAAGCTTTTGGAAGTAAAAAAAAAAAGAATTATTTAATAAACTGCTGGTTGAACTTGAAGGTGTCACATTTTACATTTTCTTATGAATGAGAAAAAATATTAGTAGATTGGCTACACCAGCATTGTAGATTTATAACAGTGGGCTTATCTTATAGGATATTGGGTGAGGTGATTTTTACTTTGTCTTAGTCATCTAGTGCTGCTATAACAGAAATACCACAAGTGGATGGCTTTAACAAACAAAATTTATTTTCTTACAGTTTAGTTTTAGAGCACTGGCTATAGGGGACGTCTTTGTCTGTCTATCGGCTCTAGAGGAAGGCCCTTGACTCTTCAGCTTCTGCTTCCTGTTTCCTTGGAGAGCTCCGTGTGTCTTGGCATCTACCTTACCCCATCTTCTCTGCTGGCTTGTTTAATCTCTTTTATATCTCAAAAGAGAATGACTCAAGATACACCCTACACTAATCTTGCCTCGCTGACATAACAAAGACAACCCATTCCCAAATGGGATTATAACCACAAGCATAGAGGTTAGGATATACAACACATTTTGGAGTGATGTAATTGAATCCATAATACACTTCATTATACTGATCCCACACCTAGAATTTACATTGAAAAGTTCACTTATTTACTCATTTGCTTTCTTTTTGGCATATGAAACATTTATTTATTTGGCTTCCTCAAAGGAAGTTAAAAATTATTCTAAGAATATGCACTTGACTCCCAAAGTCATCTACTTTGCAATGAGCAAATATAAAGAGCTCAGGTAGTTGAGGGAGAGTGTGGGAGGAAGGAACAGAAGAAGAGAGGTTTAACAAAAGAATTAAACACAACTTTCAGGATAGATTAAAATCTGAAATCCATTTTTAAAATTTTTGTTTAAAAAGTAAACTTTTTAAAGAATATAAAATATTTATATTAGGGCTAGAAGTTAGGGGTTGTGCACTGAGAGGGTGAAAAAAAGGACAGAAGCAGTTGGCAGTGATAAAGGTAAGGCTCAGACCTGCCATTCCATGTTCCTGAAATAAATCGCAAACTAAACCAGATTCTTGACCAGGTACTATGAGCCAAGTAAAGTATCAAAGCGTACTCAATGTCCTAAACCTCATGTGTACTCTGATGAGGCCAGGGCACAGTGCTTTTCCCAAAATGATCTTTAGATTCACAGTTAACAACACATGTAACCTTCTGTCAACAAACGGAGCCATGAAAATAGCACTGGCCTTTATGTCCACTGGCCTATGTCCTCAAAAAAGTCAAAGTGGAACAAAAAGTAAACAAGTATCATGCCAAAAAGATTAAGTAACAGGCTTTTGACACATTTTTATGACTTCCCATACTTCGTGTGTTTTTAACAGAGGAATCTAGGCTTGTTCATAAATATTATTTACTGTTTTACAGCAATAAAAGATATATTTAAAAATATGGTATGTTGATTTAATGGAATATTTGCAATCTGTAAACTATGTAATGACATGGAAAGACATTTGATATTCTGTCAAGTAAAACAGAACTGTTACAAACCAGTGGAAACTTAAAGTATTAAAAATAATAATAATAAGGTAAAATCATGACTTATACAAACACATGTCAAAGATTTTATTTAACTCATTATTAATTATTAAATGAAGAACCAGGTAGATGTTACAACTTGTTCAAAGGAGAAATTAAAGAACTGCCGATTTATACACAATAAATGAATGTTGAAATACATTTTTCAAATGGACACAAAACTGGTTTTTACCCAGGGTGGTGGGGAGGAGGAAGAGGAGGGCAAAAAGGTTGACTCCACACCAGACAGAAGTTATTTGCAAGTCTACATGCAAGAATTATTTGCATTGCTGTCAGCTATTTAAAAATTGCAGAGTTAAAAACCAGTCTAGTCAAAGACAAAGGTACATATCCCTATAGCAGTGTTTCTCTCTTTTTTTTTTTCCCATTATTACCCCCCTCTTAAGGACACTTTTAAGACATTTTTACCTAATTTCCCCTTGCCCCAAATTAAACAGTAAGAAATAAGATTTCGTTGGTTAGATTTGAGTTTTGAAGGGCCACAAACCATCGTAATAGCTAAGAATTTTTTCCTCCCCTCAAGAGCTCATTTTTGCCTCCTTAGGGACAATTAAAAATCCATGTCCTATAGGGTCAGACAATCCCCAGGAGAGTCCCACATTCCATTGAAAGGATATCTGGTAATCTCTTTAACATATTTCAAAGTCTTATATTACCTCTTACAATACAAAACAATACAATACAATCCTGTCATTTTTTAAAACCTAGGATTTAAAAAAAATTTAAGCCCTCAAAGGGGCTTAAAGGACAGTTTATACCAAGGGTTAGCAAACTACAGCCCACAGATCAAATCTAACATGCTGCCTATTTTTGAAAATAAAGTTTTATTGGAACCCAGCCACACACATTGTTTACTTATTGGCTCATATTGTCTATGGCTGTTTTCACACAACAGCAGAGTTGACTGGTAGTGATAGAGACCTCATAGCCTGTGAAGTCTCAAATATTTACTATTTGTATGTTTACAGAGAATATTTGCCAACCTCTGGTTGATACCAAAACATTGATAGTAACTACCTCTGGTGAATAGAATGATGTATTATTTTCTTTTAAAAAATTACTTGTCTATATTTTCTATAAATATATTTTACTTATTGAGGAGACAAAATTTTTTAAAATATATTAAGCATCAATTGTATCCAATGCTCTTGAAAGATAGAAGATATGATTCCTGCCTTCATAAAATTTTCTAATCTAATACTGCTTGAATAAATTGATGTATGTGCTGTAGGAGGTTCACAACATACTTTTACTTAAGTAAGCTAAAAATCGGAGAAGCATGTAGGGACAACTAGAGAGAACAAAATAGTATTTGTACATATGAGCTGGGTCTATGTCAATTTCTAGGTTAAATTTCAGCCTTCTAAGCCTTAAATATGAAAGGAAAAGCAGATTTAATAGTTCATTATGACTGAAGTATTTACTTAAAATTATTACAAAAATGATAAGAAAAAAATATGGTTGCTATTGACCGCTAGAGAACATTTTATTATTTCTCCATTCAGATTTTATACACACTGAGGTCATGAAATTCAAAGATATTCTAGAAGGAACTGTGAGATGCTTTGTAGATATACAGTATTTCAGGACTTAAGCTGCCCTGAGTCACATAAATCTCTAATCCTTTCCTATCCAAGTTTCAAAACATTGTTAACTTAAGAGAACAACTCAATTTAAGATGTGGCATTTCATTCAGTTTATTCTCACCAGCTCCTGGAAACTTACTTTCCCATAGATCTTATGCTTGAAGGGTCTCTTTACTCCTTGAAAGATAATATTTTATGTCCCCTAGAAGCTGTTCTTTGTAATATAGGATTCTTGGATGCCTAAACCTATCAAGACTCAGAAAAATGATTTTTCTCATTGTTCAATTCTAGGAATTTCAGATCAGTTGCCATCAAATCCAGGATGTTTACAGAATGAAAATTTTAACTATAAGATAAACAGGTAAATAAATTAATGGGTCTTTTGGAGATCAACCAGAATTATTTCTTTGTGGTTCAAGATTCTCTAGGAAACAACTATAAGACTGACAACATTAAATCAAAATCAATTCAACAATAATTTGAGGATCTAACATATCAGCCATTCTCAACCATATTGTCACGGTGCACAAATGCATTCCAGTTAATTGCAAGGTGTATCTCCAGTAATCTGTCACTAGTAAGGTTAAAGTACTGACGTTTGCAAATTATTTATTTTTTTTAGAAATTAAAACTGATTCAGGATTATCTCTGTAACAATCATTTTCATTCAATTGTCTTCTCATATATGTTGAATAACAGAGAAATAAGACATTAAGGCCAATGATGTGGGCACTCCTACTGGAGGCATCTTGCACATGAACAATATCTGTTATTTGTACCAAAAATAGAACTCAAACTTGTAGCCAAAAGGAATTAGTGAGGTGATAGCAAAGGGGAAGGTGGAGGAGGGGAAGAGGAGAGGGGAGAGGGAATAGAAAGAGGAGAACGACGAACACTTGAGGAATGAGCAAAGGAGGAAAGCCCAGAGGAAACCAGGAGAGAGTGGCACAGTGGGAACCAAGGGAGCAAAGTCTCGAAAAAGAGGGCATGGTGGGCAGTGTCAGCTGCTGCTGAGAAATGAAGTAACACTGCTGACGGGAGGCAATCAGAAGCCCCTGGCAGCTTTAATAAGGAGCAGAAGTCTAGAATTAATGCCTGAATTAAAGAAAGAG